TCCCGCGTACCGCTGATGGTAAGGCCTCTGAATCTGGGTTTCAGTCTTGCTCACCTTGCGACACCCGTAAGTCCAACAACCAAAGTCCTCTCCAATCCGTTTAAGTAGCTTTCATTAGCTGCGCGGGGCCCGTCGCAGATACGGGTGAGGCACACTTTTTTTTTCTTCCCCGCTTTCTTTTTTTATAAAAATTGATCTCGAATGAAGACCAATCCCCTTTCGTATGGCCCGAGGAAAAAAATATTTTGACAGAGATTCGAAGCACGAAACTTCGCGCCACTACTCCCACTACTTAGTGCCCCACTGAACGCGCGCGGGTACGGCGTCACGGCGAAGGCTGCCTGCCGAGTCCTTACTCTTCCTTAGACACATTGATTTTGAAAACGAAACAAGCGAGGAAAAGGGCGATCGGCCCCACCCGTCCCGTGCTCGGGAATCGAACCCCGCAACTCCGCGTGTTCCAACTCTACTTGAACTACAGGAGGTCGGTAAGCTGGGGAGCAGCCAATGCCTTCAGCCTAGCTCGCCCGGCCACCCACACTGTGGCGTCGTAGCCGCGCCGGTAGAGAGTCGGCCCCATGCGCCACAAGACAGGGGTCCGAATCTCCCATCCCAGCTACATTTTTCTGAACTGATCGAACTCTTGGAGTTGAACTTAAACCCGTCATTTCAACAGGGCACCTTCGTGGATGAACGAACCGTCTGGTGGTTAACGCTGCCCCACTGGACTGGGGGTGACGATGACTCGGCACTGGGGTCCCATTAGGGGCAAAGGTTCGACCCTCGGCGAGAGCGTGCCGAGTAAGGGCCATCCCAGCCACAGCGGGAGTGGTAACCCGTGTGGAATTGATAAGTCCTTAGAATCTGGCTCCTCGAAGGGATTCCACGACTCGGAAGCTTTCCGTTCGGATCGCATCTGGGTGCAGTACAGGCTAACCACCGTACGCCCGTCTCCTCTCTTTCTAACTCCCTCCGCCCTACCCCCCATTCCCGGTCAAGCGGACTGGTGGGAACCTAGTCGATGGCTGTAAACTCCGGTGTGAGCGAGATAGTCAAGAAACCCGGCCCTCAGCTGGGTGCCTGAAAACACCGGATCCCATACCGAACTCCGAAGTTAAGCAGGCGGGTCCCCGTGTCAAAGCGGGGTGGGTAGGGCCCACATTTTTTTCATTTTTGATAATTTTGTAGGTAAAATGAATCCGGCTCTAAGAGGTAGTTTAACTGCCGGTTGCACGGAGGTGATTCACGTCTAAAGCTTAGTGCTACACTGCCGCACTGCCCCTAAGGCCACCTGGGGTAGGCGAACCGCCAGTCCTCGTGGTCATGCTGTACCGAACGCAGGCGTGCGTGTTGCCTACCTGCAATGCCCGTTAGGCGCTTCGGCCCCCTGGGGTAGGAAAACCAAACGTGCGGTAAAGTATAACTGTAGGAGACACATTTTCCAAAATTTCAGCATATCGATGAGGTCGGGAAAAATTAGGTCGAACAAAACCTAGGTCGGACAGCACTTTTGGGGATTTTGGAAAAATCGGTCGGACAATCTAGCTGCACCGGTGGGAGCCGGCAGTCCTCCCCACTATATTGTTCTTGCGGGTACGGCAGCCTACCCAGCGCAATCTGTAGGCAATCGGACCCTACATTCAGTATTCTAGTAGAGCGGTTTGCCTAGTTACGGGAGTTTTATGCCCCCAAAAGCA